AAAAAAAAAAAAAAAAAAAGGCCAAACCTGGAAAATGAAAAAACCAACAAAACCAATGAAAAATGAATTCCCTCATTTCAAGGAATACTGGCACGTGAGGCCTGCCACTAAAAAAAGAATTCCCTTGAAAAGCTAGACAATCAAACAACACATTTTGTGAAAAATGGAAAAGATTTTCACACTTCGATCGAAAACATTGCATATCAAACAGGGCCTAAGTTGCTTCGTTCCATAGTTCAGCAACTACTCATAACCAATGATTATTTGGTTCTTGATTGTCTTTTACTAAATCAGCTTAATGCCTGATTTGAAATCCTTTTAGGTGCAAAAATATCGCGCTGGATAATATAGCTAACTTCCATTACTAATCCATTATGGATTTTGATTTTCCTAACCATGCAATCATTTTTTTTAACGGCTGAAAATAAGAATATTATTCCGAGCTGCAAGAATACATGCATACAGAATAGGAGAATTTTCACCTTGTCGAAGATGTAACTGTGCACCCAATAAGTCATTTTATTTATAACTGCAGGATACTGTTATGAAATTCAGATAGTTAATGGATAAAAAATATCGATAGCTAGTACTTAAAAAAAACTAAAATCTTGTAGGTCACAACATGCACTAATCCACACGTAAAGGAAATAAAATCCAAACTTTACCAGGGTTGTGAAAGAAGGAAAGATGGGGAAATTGGAGCCCCTTTAATCTTTGTATATATACTAATCTAAAAGAATTATACAAATCATAACAAAATAAAGACCAGCAAAATGCCCATTGCTGGGTCGAAGCCAAACCAAAAAGACCCACTCAATAGGTCTTATCCATTGTTAAAGAGTATGGATAATTTTGAAAGAAAGGTTCCATTTCTGCAAACACTTCTATACAACCTCATTATACACGTTCACATACCTTTCACTATATACAACACGTCTCCCATGCGAAGTCAAATCACCTCTGGCAATCCCGAAAAACCACAATAATTTGCAGCCATCAAATATTCCACTTCCCACTCTCGAAGCTGCGAGGCGCGCTTGCGAGAAGGGGGTCTCATGCTTCATGTGTTTATGGCGTGGACCCAGTCACTTCTTCAATGAATGCAAGAGCTCAATCCAAGAGACCTCCCAAAAAAAATAAATACCTTCTATCCTTTGATCATCCCTGATTAATTGAAGATCTCAAGCTTTCATCTGGTAATGTCCATGAAATCAAATGGCCACCAGAATCCCCGCTCAACAACTGTTTAAGGTCACCCGAAATGTGGAGGGCAGTAACGGGAAACTTGTGAAATTTTAAAACCTTATGTAGGACCAACCTGTACTCGGGAACTTTACCTCCAAGCGCTAGCCCTCCTGTCAAATTTCCAGTCTGTTTGATTTGGCCAGACTCCTCGCTCGAACAATGAATCATTTTCCAGACCTTGACGGCCCCACTTTGGTGACCAGAGACATACCAGTTAGTTTCCAACCAATCAGAGAAGGTAGAAACCGTAAGCGAGAGAATGAAGTCGGATGGAAGTTGTGATGTGTTGACAATTGCAAGGCAGTCCCCATTAATGCTCCAAACTGCGAGCATCACACCAGCTGCAGTCACTATTTCTCCCGTCAAGTCATTCACATATATAGCAGAAACAGGTGAAGGGAACTCGGGAAGTTGCCTAATGAAAGCCAGAGAGCTAAGATCCCATATGATAACAGTACAATCATCTGATCCGCTCACAATCATCATGTAAGGCTGGCTAACATGAAGGCACGTGATTTTACCCGAATGGGCACAAAGAGCCTTCTCCAACTGCAGGTGCCGAAGAACACGTGGTCCGTCTTTGCCAATTCTCCAAACACATACCAAACCATCATCTGCCCCTGTAACTAAAACCTGACCATCATGGCTTGCACTGGCACACTGGATTTGGTTGCCTCCATGAAGATTCTCATGAGTAGAAAGAAGCCTATCTTGATCATAGCTCACAAATCTCAAGCTACGATCAGGAAACCCCCATGCAACATATTTGGTATAAGTTCTGGGTTTCAGCAAGTTATTTGCACCGGCCACTAAAATCTTTTCAGCGACAGTGACAATTTGAGAAATAGAAGATGAGCTCTTACGAATCTCATGAGGTACAAGAAACATAGAGTGCTTGAGCGGATGGGGAGGAAGCTTTCTGTCAGTTCGTCTTTTCACATGGGGCTTCAAGAACAATTGTTTTGGCGTTTGTCCAAAGTGATTTATTTGTGCCAGAATAGAGGCTTTCATTGCAGGATCTAAGACAGAGTCTATATCAACACTGCCTTCATATGTATAGTGGTAGAAGACATTCACAGCTTCTTCAGCTGCCTGATAACACCACAAGAATGGTTGAGATTAAAATTCGAAAGAAATTGGAAATATCCAGGAATGAGAAAATGAACCCAAGGGGATAAGCCAGGCATAAAATAAAGGTGCGATTGGATTTAGCGCAAGAGTTCATACATACATGCCTGTCAAGAAGTACACAGAATCAAAACATATCCTGGTTCAGATTT